CTACCCACACCAATATCCACACCCCACACCCTACATCCACACCCACACCCTTCATTTTTCTTTTCGTAATTTTTAATTCTTTTATTTTATTTTCTTCTATTGTTTTGTTAAAAAAGCTTTCTTTTTGTGCTTATACTGTAATATAGAGCCTTGACAAGTGTTTGATTATTTAAATAAAAACACGAAACACGTCGGCGAAATATTAACTCTGCATTTTATTTTTAATTATTATCTTTTTTACTTAGCACAACATTTATATTTACAAAATTTATTTCGACTTGATCGGTTGCTGAGAAGCAAGTTCTCTTTTCATTAAGCGATAGATTGGTCTGGTTTTCAATAGGATGCTGTTGAATGCTTTTTCAACGAAAAAAAAATTTGCACATTTTATCCAGAAATCTTTATTTAAACAAAAAATTAATTAATGCCATTTATATTCAGAATACCACATGCCTTTAATTTGTGATAAAAATGTTCAATAAAGCGTCAAATAGAAAATAAAATGTGTTCTAAAAAATTAATTTTTGATAATTAATTTATAATTATTGCTAAATTAAATTGGACTAATTTTCTTGCATTTTAATGAGAAATTAACGAAATATCCCCAAAAAAAAATTTATATAAAAATGGTATATAAGTAACACGTTCAATTAATTTTATATGGATTTAATGTAATATGTAATTGATAAACACACTTGTAGTAATTTATGTCAAATTAGTATTCAGCTTAGCTTCGTGTAAATTATCAAACATATATCAAGAAAGTATTAATAAATTAATCGATCATTCTCTTGACTGAAAGGATAGGATCTAGAAACGGAAATTCATCTGCGTCTGTCTGTAACATAGTGGGACAAATGGCCATTTTTGTGACTAAAATGATCGTTTCCATGATCAAAATGACTGGTACTATCCGTCCGTCTAGGGTCAAGTGTATTGACTCTCGATTCACCTTACTTGTGAATAAATGCAACGGTTTTCCTCATATATATAGTTTATTTTTACTATTATTTGGTTACGAGCTCCTGTTCGAGGCATGCATGATGTACACATGGAACACTCGATGCGCATTCAGTAGGTATGCCGTACACGAGCTAAGAGGTGCTAACGTGGCGCTGTTTCGTTCGACATGGGCATAGCATGTATCTTTCTTTTCCTATCTTCTCTTCTGTTTTTGTTCTTTCCTCTTTTGTGTTTTCTTTTCTTTCTCTCTCTTGTCTCTTCTTTCTTTTTTGCTTTTTTTTCTCTGCTCTGTTCTATCTTTCTTTCCTTTCATGTTGTATTTTGTTTTTTTCATATATATTTGTACTACTGGGACCTAATCAGCAGCAGTTACCGCACAATATATCTATATAGAAGCTTTTATTCATCAGAAAAGCACTCTGAACCGTAAGAATTATCTTCAGCATCGATTTTTAACCGTTTTATCATTAATAAAAAAAACCCTATTTGCGTACTGAACAACTTTAGGTTATAAGACATTTTCTTTTATTCAGAGCTAATTAACCTGAAGATATTCCTTTATAATTAAAATAAGATAGCATAATGGTGTGTTTATAAGAGTCCACATTTTGGAAATAACTTTCGCAAACTAAGTGTATGCAGTATTATTTTGTAAATTTTAAAATGGTTACAAATCTGATAGTTCAATGTACTATTTCTTATCGTTTTTGTTACGAATAAAAACTTTGACCAGTTCTCAAAAATCATCTCGATCAATACGAACAGAGTGGAGATAATCGAACTTTTTTATCGTCTAGTTGTTTATGAGACATTCTGTATGTTATTTAAACGCCATATGTTCGTTACAATATAAACCATTAAAAAATGTAGCTTTAGAGTTCTTTTTTTATGTTCTTGTCACAACATTCTCGTTCCATTTTCTCTCTTCCTTCTCGTTGCACTCTTGATCAATTTGTAGTCGTTTTTTTCTCGCCCTTCTTGTTTTTGCGTTATTCTTTTTCCTTCAGTTCCATGCAAGATAGTTCTATTTTGCCATGCAGTTGTCAGGATTTTTTCTTTGACTTCTTTCCACAACACTCGAAACTTGTTTATCTTTTCTCTCGAATGTGAGCATGACTTTCTTTTCTATTCTCCTACTATCTCAATCGGTATGAATATATTTTTGTGTTGTTGTCTGTCTTGTTTCGTTTTTTTTTCATATCATTTGTTTTCCAGTTCGTGTTCTGTTTTGGTAGTAGAAACACACTGTTGATTATGGGATGCTGATCTTTTCATCTGTGTTTTTTCAATCTCACAGATACGATTCGTCATAGAAGATCACGATGACTTTTAGTAATCCTATTTAATGTGAAGTTATTCGTTTGTTACGTAAAATGATCTTCCTCTCTTACAACTCTGAGTAGATGTGTGATTGAGATCAATTAATAAAATACATAGGAATCGAGATTAAAACACCAGGAATATTGAAAGATAGGGCTTAATTGTTGAAAAACTTTTTCTCTCTACCTTTGTATTTAAATTGAAAAGAAGATCAGAACTGTCAACATTAGATTACTTAACCCAATTCGACTACAAAAACGATAAGTAGAAGATCAGGCATTGCCTTAGCTGTGAATCAGATCATAATACATTGATAACGAACGAAACAAAAACATTCTCAAATGCATTTGTTTCGTCAGACTATGATATGAAAAATCTTTTCAAAAGCCTCATCCATGCTTTAGAATAACCTATTTTCAGTTGGTTAGTAGCTAAACAAAGCATGTTACAGAACATTATATGACGACACCAATGGTTTACTTGTTAATGTCAAACTCGACATAGTTTTAGTTTTAGAAATTATAGAAACTCTTTTCTGAATAAGTCATAAATACAATTTTGAGAAAAGTTGACTTTACTCGGATTGAAAAAAGAATCTGAATTCAGCAATCGACAGACAGTAGGATGCATATCAGAAAAGTATATGAAAAAACAATTTTTAAGTTATTTGAATTTGAACATTTGCTTAACTTACACAACTTAACGATTTGCGTTAAATAATTTCAAAAAAACTGTTTTTTGAGTCGTTTTTATTTTTGAAGAATATTACCATCTGAATTACTGAAGTGTCCGTAAAATTTAATTATTGAATCGATCCTTCCTCGATGATTTATTGAAAATTTAAAAATTAATTAAATGCTTTGACAATATTTTCTAGGTAGATACAGAAACATTTACGGAAATCCATGTTCGATTGTGAATCCTAACTTTTTAGTTTAGAAAAGGGAATTGTTCATAACAATACTATACAATTCGTTTGTCATTCACGATGGCAATTTTAGATTAATACAACATTAAATTAATATTCTATTAAAGAAATACACACAATGAATAAACCATATCCAACCATGCCGGGTGTGAGTTACTCTCAAGGTCCACCGACTACAGTCAATGACGTTCCGATAGCTTACGAAAATAAGTCCCAGCTAAGAGCAAATTGCATAGTTTGTCTGATCATGTTTACTTTGGCTGTTGTTTTCGTTGGTATATGCGGTGCAATTGTGTATGCTTTATCTAATGAAGGTTAGTCAAGAATATGTAGGAATAGTTTTCTGTAGATAAGCCACAGATATAAGTTCTACAATGACATTCTATTTTTCAGTGTTTGTCTATATTTATTTCTAAGAATATTTGAATTGACAATTTTTTTTTTGGTCAGCCATATATGTCAATAATTTCTAGGTTCAAATGAAACAGATAAATGGTTTATAAAATGTCTATTTGATGATCAAAACAAGACACAATATTGGACAGGTGATATGGTATCAGGTGTCATCAACTTTATCAATAATGGTTATCCATATTTAAAATTAAAGAGTATTAATATTACACTAGTCGGTATGATAGTTTATACCACTACTTCTGTAAAGTTGATAAATAAAGGACCATCAAAACGAACTACTACTAAACATGAAGTAATATTCTTCGAAGAAGAACTCATTTCAACATCGATTAACAATGGAAGTGACTTTGTTCTACCAGTTGGTAATTATACTTGGCTGTTTCGTGGTCGTCTTGGCCATGTTTTACCACCTTCGACTAGACAGACCGTATCATCAAGCCCATATATTCGTTACTTTGTTCGTGTTCGATTGAGTCGATCTGAATGGTACAAACTGGATTTTCAGACAGACTTTCCTATTATTGTTCGACTCAATTCATCTTGGCCTGAAAATGTAACAAGAATCGAGAAGCAGGAGTCTCAGCGAGGTGTTCAGATCCGTGTTAGTCTTCCAAAGAATGTTGTCACTGCTGGAAATAAGTTAGCATTTGATATTGACATACATAATTCCGAACAAGTTCCAATACGTAGTCTATCTGCAACTCTTGTGCAAATATGGGAAATTGGTCAGGTTAAAACA